GCCTCACAAATCCGAAGATGCTGGCCAGAGAGCAAGCGCCTGTATGGTTGATCGATTGGGCAAGCAAAAAGCTCAAGCGAGCTATTCGTTCAAGTGTTGCAGCTGAGACCTTAGCTGGTCAAAATGGTTTAGATTCCATTGAGTTTTTGCAAGCATTGATTCTTGAAACATTGAAGGGAGTAACACCTCGAGAGTTTCGTGAAATCACACCGGACGAACCGTCGTGTTTGGTGATTGACTCAAAAGGGTTTTATGATGCATGCAATAAAACCAGTGGTTCATCTACCACAAGTGCCGAGGAGCGTTTGCAAATAGATTATGCCATCGCCCGTGAGAGCATGAAGAAACAAAATATTTGGGTGATATGGATAAATAATCGGTACATGTGTGCAGATTGTTTGACCAAACTTAAGGGTGAAAGCAAGCCACTGTTCGATTTGCTTGAAACCAACACATACCATATTAAGAAATGTAAGGTGTCAGGTCGCAAGGAACTTGCTGAAGAGCGAGCAGGTCAAACCGAGCAAGATTCGGAATAGCCACAAAGCTGTGCATGTTTTTCCTTTTTGTAGCTAGATGCTGGGGTGTCCACTAGAGACTTAGATTCGAACATGACCAAGTCATTTTTGTCGAAACGTCTTGAACCTCAGCGAGTGCCATAGTGCTTCCATCAAAAAGACCAAAAGAGATGGAAGGAGAGGATTCATTTGTTTTTTCTTTGCCGTCGCCAGAAGGCGAGACTCAAGCCGTGTGATTTTCCTTTGTAAGTGCCATAGCCATGAGCAGCCATGCAATGGATGCTAAGAAGGTACGTCGTCAAGAGATGTACCCGCCTTTGAGTGCCGATGAAATCGACACAGCAGCAAGGCTGACCACTCGAGCCATCATGAACGGTCAACAGAACCAGATGTTCTTGATTGTTGGATCACTGGATCCCCGTGCTGAAGCTTGGATGATGGAGAAGACCCGGATCTACCAAGGATATGGTGGAACCATGAGCGAGTCCGTGAAGCGCCCGCTCGATTTCAGCTTACTGGAGGATGCAGAATCCACAAGCCCATCATCGGCATGGAATGAAGTGTCGTTGACGAGTGCCCGTGCATACCATGATGGACCAAGTGCCTCTGTTCCCATGCCCACGTCAAGTGGAGCCCTTCGCATGCCGGAGACCTCAGTCGAAGATGAAGACATGTCGGTCGAGCTACCAGCTGATGTGCATGATGTTGGAACATGGGGAAAGACCATCGTGAAGATGGAAGCCTATGCTGACCGCAACTGGCGGTACCGTCAGATTGTGGAGGAGGCCAAGTCGGACAAGAAGGTCCATGGATATTTGAGCTGGATTGTGAAGACCTATGGAAAAGAAAAGAGTGGACCCGTGAAGAATCAGGCCACCGACCTTGCTCGATTCCTGTTGCGCATTCGCTGGACCGCTTCCAAGGCAAGCTCCCTTGTCGGCTTTGAACGACAGATGTGAAGGATTCGAAGCTGCATATGAAAGCCCCTCTCGGACAGAGGGCGTGTGAAATTGCCCTTGGAGTGCATTTCTTGTCAGGTGTCCTCACGTGGCCATATTGGCTGAAGGCCTTGAGCCGTTGTTCGGCTTGATCGGAAAAGGCGCGTGCCGCTATGTCGTGAGGTCTAGTGACCTAGGACCGGTTGCAGTTGATTGTGATCTACATTGACATTGAGTTGTTGGGTATTTGCTGCTACCAGTTCCGCAATATATATATATATATATGAATATACCAGGACCCTGAAGGGATGGTTAATGAACACCCCTTAACAGCCTTGGAGGGTCCTGGTATATGCATTGTTACATATCTTTACAATTATTAGGGCATATTAGGACTACTGGTTATGCACGAGCGGGGACCAAAGCCTCCTATGAAGAGTTTTAGGGGGTGAACCGCCGTTGACTTTATAAAACTCTGCAATCACCGTGTGTAGCGATTGATTGGGACACCTGAAGAGCGATTCCTGTTGCAGGAATATGCTAACTCCCAATGATGTTCTGACATGCCTTGTGGAAATAAACACATTGTCTTTAGAGCAATACCCAAATCGGTCCCAATCCAAACGACACCTGCCAACTCCCCATGTGTAAAGCCACAACTCGCTGACGCTACCAGCGTTTCCTCATGAAGGCCTTTGCAGTTTGTTGAAACCATGGCTTACATGTAGGAGCTTCAAAGAGGAACCACAAGGAATCCTCAGGGTAGCAGGGTTGTCGGGTTCTTGTTTTTTGATGGGACTCTGTGGGGGCGATTGTCAAGCGTCGGTCAGAGTGATACCTTTATGCAGTGCATATTTTGGCCACCGCAAGAATATGAGGAAACCTCGGTGTCTAGGTGTTCATGATGCAGATCTAATGGTCCTGATCTTAGGTGTTCTTGGGCATGATCAGAGAAGCTCATGTCCAAAGCTTGTAATGAAACCATCATTTCCAAATCTACACCCTGAGTGTTTCAATTGTGGAAAGAGAAATGGGACGTCTCATGTCGCTTCGTGTTGGGTCCAACCCCTAAAAGGACACCGCCACGATGTCCAAAGAGCATCCTGCCACTCATTCTCATTCCCTGAAGTTCCTCTTAACTTCACTGCCTCACTGCCCCGCCTTTCAAACCTGCGTCTTCTTCCACCCCGTCACACCAAAACACCCAACCGGGACCCGCCCGCCGGGTGCCACCCCCGTCGCGGCGTCACGCGGCGTCACGCGGGGCCGTGCAGGAGTCGGACATTTATGGCGACGAGTTCTGGTCCGAGAAGAAGACCAAGTCCCAGAGGTCCGATGTCGCCGTCGCTGTCGCCGAACCGCCGAAGCTCGGGCGACCGGGGACCAACGGGACGCTGTTCCGCAAAGCACGGTGGGTGGGTGAGGTGTCGCGAAATCGGCACGCGATTTCGCACCAAGGCATTGCTTTTGACGTCCCTTTATCTGATTGATTTGTTGTGGTTATTCAATTGTTCGCGTTTTTTTTCAATAGAGACGAGTCCCACCTCTATATAGACGTTCTGAACGCAGACATGTTTTAAGGGATTGTTTGATATTATTTGTAATCATAAAGAAAGACACTGACCTCGGGTGTTAAGTAAGGCTGTTGGTGCAACCCCCGCTCTGTTGAACACCTGGGTGGTCTTTTTGAACGGCGCCTTGGTCGGTTGTTTGATGTTTCACAGATGGGCTGGTATGCACGCATGTGGCAGAGCGTTTTTGTTTTGTGCAAATCATAGTAGATATTTGTGTTTGCCCAGGCTCTAATCATTGAGGCCTTCTGTGACCATGCATCAAGACCGTGAAGACACCCACCCACATTGTGTGCCACCGTCGTAGAACCTTTTTCTGGAACATGTGCAATTTGGAGCAAAAAAAACACAAAAGAGCCAGCACTTGAAGATGTTCCTTCACACAACAAGGAGCTTCTTTTGTTCGATTCTTTTCCGGTTTGTTGTTTTGGTCGAGCTTCGTTGGGTTTCGATCGGTCAGGGACGAGCTCAACACCTTCTCTTGGGATGCTGGTCGAGATGAGTGTCTTGGATCCAGACGGGTTGGACAGGAGAGAGGTCCTTACAGACCACACAGCAAATCACGAGGCATCTTACAGGTGAAATGCCCAAGAGTTGGCTGATGTGAGCTCGGCGTGTTCTCATCTCTGAAGCCTATGGAACCTGTCAAGGCATGCGACTTTGTCAAAAGAAGCTGGGAGTCAAGTCTTGAGTCCTGAATCTTCCATCATCTATGCACAATAGGCTGGTTCTATGGATGAAGATCCATGCAATTGGAACATCTTGGCACAGACAGGAAGATGAACCAAAGGTATTTAGTCAAGGTGAATGCTTACGGGGAGGCCAAAAGTAACAGAGCCATTTGTCAATGCCAGAACCTTTAGCACACTGAAATTGGGCAATCTCAAAGCAGCTGTCAGGAAGTTCTTCAGAGTTGTTCCCTGGCAACATCCGCAAACGGACTCGTCTTAAGCAGCAAACACCATGACATGAACGGACTCTATTGAGATGAGCTTCACCACCAAATCATAGGAGCTGATAGACCCGGACCCTCCGACAGGGACAAGAAGAACACTTGAAAAACCATGAACCATGTGGCTGGGGCTGGGGCTGGGGCTCTGAGTCTCAACCCTCAACGCTACGAACTGCCGAGTCGGGTCCTGAGATAGGAATCCTTCTTTTGTTGCATACCAGGACTGGATATTATGCCGCGCCGAGGCCTTGCCCCTCTTTTGCACCTCCATGATAGGGAAAAAAAACAGCTCCTGAATAAACCAACCCATTTGGATTGTAAAACCATGTGGGGGTATTTAAAACAGATCAAGAAGTCTACCATGATGGCAGTCTCCACGGTCTCGTCCGGGTCGGTTGGTGCAAACCGCTACGGGTCCGCAGGCTGGATGACCTGCTGGCCGCACCTTGGGCCGCACCACTCGACTGCACCGGGCTTGGCCGTCAGCGTCACTGTCATCCCGGGCTCCAGTCGTACCTTCTAAGAAGGTGGGACTGGGGTGGGTGCCAGGAGGGTCCAAATACCTCCCTACAAGTCCAGTCTGACCCAGTAAAACCTGGTTTTGGTTACCTCCTTAAGTATTGGATTTGTATGACCATCTCCAGTACAAACATGAGGTCAAACTGACTTGTAGGGGATTACGTAGTGTTCAGGTGATTTGGTTTTGCTGATCGTAGTGTGAATATGTGTGAATTATTTTTGAACGTTGGATGAATCCCTCTTTGTCACGTGTTGTGTCGGTGCTGACCAGCAAATCCAAAGTCATCGATTTCTGGGATCGACCTTAGAAACTTGTCCATTCATGGTATATATATTGGTACCAAGGAACATTCTACAGGACACCCATCGTTTGCAAGTGAAAACCATGGTTTTGTGTAGATTTCCCCTTAAATACACCAATCCATCGGAATAAACCAGGCTTGAACGGGCCTTTTCTTCGGGGGCAAGACTGACGTCTTCTCGGGTTCTGATCCATTTGCACAGTGTTTGTTTGGGAGTAGCCCATGACCAGTAACAGTTGGTAAAAGATTATCACTATTTTGGGGAGATCGAGAAGCATTTGCTAATCATCATCATCCACTGTTAATTACTGGTAATGGGATATACCTAAAGTATAATATATACAGTAAGTAGTTCATCATAGTTCATCACTCTTGATGTTGAAGTCCTACCTACATTAACTTTCCCAGCCACTAGTATGCTTGCCCCTGGCACTTCACCGAGATAGTTGTGCCCTCCTAACATAATCCCCTAAAGTACGTAGATTCAGATGAGAAGAGAATACCTAGATCGACATACCTAGACCTAGACTTAGCGAGGGTCTTGTCCTTTGTGTTTTGTTTTGCTGCAGGTCATACGTCCAAGTTGGGTTGGGTGTGCAATCCCCTAAACAGTTCCAGATCACAATGGTCAGTATGTATGTGTGCCACTTACTTCGGAGCTGAAGTACACCACGTGCGGCTTTGCTTTGCTGCTTTGCTTGAAACTATAGTAGTCTCGGAGTACATGGCACACCTTCAATCAAAACGCGTAGTTGAGGATCCCCGCAAAACTGGATTGAGCCACCTGCTTTGAAATCGTTATATACTGTTCAGATCTGTTCAGATGTTTTCTGCAAGTTGCTCCCTTTGTGTTCTTGGACTTCTTAGAGCACACTCGGACGGTGAAGCAACTATTGCAAAGCTCATGTAATCCTCGAGAGCACTCGGAAATCAAAGTTGACAGTGTTGAGGTGGTTTCAGAGTCTTCACCTGTGGTCAAGACGTCCGAGAAGGGCTTTGACCTTCCCTTTTCCTGTTGAATTTGTCCTGCCAAGGATGACCTGGGGTCTTCTTTTCCTAAAGCTGATCTGCATAAGGATGAGGACTGACAAAGTCCATTTGCATCGCTGTCATGAGCCTCTTCCGATGTCTACTTCCGTAGTTCAACGAACTGATTGGAGGACAAATGAGCCTGATTCCAGGACCCACACCAGTGGTTAAACACCATGTACACTCGAAAAAATCAGGTCTTTTCAGGGAAACGCAGAGACACCTCGTGGCCCCGGCACTTCCCGAACTCGCATCCACTCGCCATGTGTGACAGGACGACCTGGGATTGGGCGGACCGCGCCTTGGCGAGTCACAGGGTGCCGAGGTTTCGTCAGCGACCGGGTCGGGGTCCATCACCCGTCTCAGGGTCCATCATCCGGCCATTTCGAATGTGCAAAAGGCGCCGCTTTTCGACCATTCTCTGGAAGTACCATTTTCACCTTCAAGACCATCCTCAGCAGGTGCTTGGACCCGGGTCAAAAAGTATGTAGAATAGTTTAGCATGTTTCTTGGTGTCCCCTCAGAGCTTTTAATAAATTTTAGACAATCAGCAGGAATAGTTCTTTTGCGCTCTTGGACATCTTCATGGAGCCTTGGGTTTCACCCTGACAGTCGTTCATCCGCAGGCATCCCTACGAGGTTTCTCCCTTTGACCGTCGCATGTTTGAGCATGAGTGACGGGGGCACCAGTCCTGACAAGTGGGATTCCTGCAGGATTGATTGAGTCGGCGTTCTCAACAAAGTTGAGTCGGCGTTCCAAATACAGACATTTGCGCAGAATGCCTTTTAGGAGATGGACAACTGTTAGAAGATGCATGTATATGGAGGAATCACTTCGATCGTGAGAGACTACACATGTTGCTTAACCTTCGATCAATGAGGCCACGCGTTTTGGTTGTCGTATCATGACGCATGAACACCGGCCTCGACTCCTTCATCTCGGCGAGGAGACACGACTTCGGGCTTGGAGACCTGGGAGGCGCTTGGGGTGACTTGAGGAGTCTTGGGCAAACCATTCACTTACTACATGGACCCTGCAAAGCACCTCAAGGTATAGGTATATTATATAAATGTTCCAGACACGGAGTGGTTGGGAAAGGAAGACCAGCCAAAACACATGACCCGAAGTGACCCGAAGATCATGGGCAAGCGACAAACTCTGTCCTCCCACGCCGGCGCCCCAACATGGAACTTGCCGACATGAGTATTCCAGGCAGATGGCCCACTGCACTGTAATACCTTCACTGAGTGGCAAGCGACCTGTCGAGGGACCTGAGGAACACGAGAGAGGCAAAGGCCGGAGAGAGAGCGAGAGAGAGATCCAACCCCCTCTTAAGAGCTCCATGGATTCCTGCTGGGTTTGGCAACACGTGATGCACGTGTGACTCTTTGACTGTTCAAAAAATCAAATTGAGTCATCATTTTGGAAGCCTTTTGGTGTCTCAGCTTGAACCTTAACTGTTCAGACTTCTTCGACCGAAAGCATCCCGTACTGCAATACTGTGTTTTTGTTCTTTTTAGATAGCTTCAACCCAAAAAACCATTTGGGCAGTCATCTCCGGACCACGTGCACTTCGTTTTTGACCCCCAAACGTCACGCCAGCTGCGTCGCTTCAGGCGGCCTGGACGCCGACTTCCGCTTCGGCGGCGATGACTTCGATCACCGGAGAGATCGAGATGAAGGGAAAGGTTCGGTAGATGAGATCGGGGCAGTTCGATGGTCCTACCCTACCCAGTCAGTGGAGTTTCCCAACCTGGGAGAGCGCTTTCCCCACGATACATGTGGACAGATGGAAAAAGGTTAAGCTGTTTTAGTAATGGTGGAAAGAACTGAGGGAGTGAGCACCTGTTGGAGTTGCAATCTTGATTCCAAGAGGTTCCTGTATCACTAATTTTCCCTCCAGATGGCAGAGTGAGGGAGTGAGTAGTAGATGGTTGATAAGGTTGGTAATCAGATGGGCCAGATCACTGGGTCTGGGTCTTTTTGATCCATTTTGAAAAATTGAGGTCCTCAGAGTAGCTAACATTTGCCTTTCTGAGACTGCGCAGTTCCTCGATTTGAACCTATATATACTAGATGTGTGTGCGTGTTCACGTTTTGAACTAAGTTTGAGCCGATGTTTTCGGTATCATCCCTGCTTAAAACCAGAAGTTCTGTCAACATAGTGTATGGATGTGTATGGATCCGATATTCAATCATGCAACCACATGCTGAGGGTAGTGTTGACCGTTGACCCAGCAAATCGATATTTGCGAGTCTGCGAGGTAAATCTGAATCTGAATCAACACTGAACATCAGGGGCCTCTCTTCCGAACTGCCAAACCTCGAAGACCAATCTGGAGGCCAGATTTACTAGAACCATCCTTCGGAAGTGCCACTTAAATGACAACCAATAACACCTGGGATGGGAGTTGGTTGCATTACAATCTCACCATGTGGAAAAGGCTGGACATTGATGTTTAGCACACCAATATGAGTCATAGGACGACAAAACCGCCTCAAGGGATGGACTGGGTTCCTGAGGGCACTCCCCCTTGCCGGATCGGTGGTCAGTCACATGGATGGTCGGGTCTGGCGATCAAAGAGATCCTTCTTGAAGGTTGAAGGAAGGAATAGGGTGTGACTCCAAAAACTTCATGCACGCGACGATGAGGAAACTAGTGGAGGCTTTGCATGGACGCTCCTATCAACATCAGGCACCGTGCATTGTTCCCAAAACGTACCAAGAGTTCCCACTTGAGGTCGTCACATGACCGGACTGACAGGTGTGCGTTGAAACCAGCTAGGCGGCCAAACAACGTGTCAACATGAACATCGTCCGAGTGAGACGGGGCTCCACCCAGCAACGTCTCCTCTCCAGGAAAAGGTAAAGGAAAATCCAAAGACAAGAGCTCCTCGGACGTGGAACCGATTGCTCCTTTGCACATCTTTGCACCGTTTGCACCGCGATTTGCTTGGACGAATGGCAAAGATTGGTGTAGAAAAACGGGTTTTATATAATATGCAAAACCCAAAAAAAAGTAAAACCGGCAGTCGTTGCAAATCACCACAACGTTCTTCCGTAGATTTGAAGAGATGGTGACCGATCTGGTTGTTTCTTTTGCTTGGGAGGTTGCATTGGACGGGACTATTCCTCCCTTGAGTCACGTCCGGAGTCCTTGCGAGTCTTACAATGAACAGCCGGGCCGGACAACACGTTCTTTGGGATGCAGGCAATAATTACTCAGACACGGCATGAGTCTCGACTATAGCTACGTATACGGCGTATATGGCTCTCTCAAATCAACCACCCCTGACCTGTTTAGTTTGGCCATGATGATCATGATGGGTTTTTGCGTTGGGCTTAATGACACAACAAAAGAGCTGAGCAGCAAGATCCCAGTTCTCATTGGTTCATTGGCCCAGCAGTCTGAAAGCGGTTGGAAGCAACCGCCGCAGCTTAAGCTTTCGAGGTAAAGAGCCCAGGGAGGCGGATCCGAAGCAGGTCTTCGTGGCCAACATCGGCGACTCGCGAACATCGAGCGGTGCGGCGCGTGAACTCACCCCGCGGTGAACCCGCGGGAGCGGGCGAGATCTCGCGGGAACTGGCGCAGTCTCGGAAGATGTGTTAGCTAAATCTAGTGTAAGAATCTGGAACCTTCAACTTTGGGTTTGTGTGTGTGCCCAATTTGCTTGTTGGATTCTGGAGCAAGATTCTGAACTATACTTGTTCAATGATGAGTGGAGTAAGCCCATAGTTGTTGCTGGTTGGAACATTTTGGAACACCTTGAGGGAAGTTTGAGAGCATGGGTGTATCATGGTGTATCACAGGGGGGTGGTGCCACATGGTTTGTACAAGCGAGGGGCGAGGGGTGCCCATCAAGAAGGCACTTTCGAGAAGAAAGTGGTCCTTGAGAATCAACAAAGAGTGGTCAGGGTATGGTCGAGTGTTTAACCGCAATTCGCTATGCCTGGGCTGGAGTTGATGAAAGCCATCAATTAACCGAGAAAATGGATGTGTCTTGGAGTTCACAGAAGTCACAGTTGGGCATATTTCTCCACCATGTGCAGTCCGACTCGAAGTCCACCCCAGTGAGGTAGTCCCTTGTGACGAGAATGGGAGGCTTTCCGGACTTGTGGGTCTTAGATCGTTCTGCAACATCACATAAATCTGTATATATTGTCTTAAACTTAAACCCCCTCCCGAAATGTTTAGAGTTAGACCCGGTGATCATCCACTATAGGTGAACATCCGATCCTCTCCAGATCCAGATGTTTCGATCTCACGCTGTCACGAGGCGACGCCCAGGAGGACGAGCTCCGCGCCTTCTTCGAGCAGGTCGGGAGCGGTGAAGACGGCGTGGAAGAACGTGGCGAAAGCGGACGCAAGGCTCTTTTCGTGTTCCAGAAAAAAACCCAACGGCAAGCCGAAAGCGCTTGGTCAGGGAAGAGCAGAAGGTGACCGGGGAAGCGAACGCCAGGAGAAGTGGAGCTGCAAAACCCATGTGGGATCTTTGGGAAACTCCGTAGAGTCAGGTCGGCGCTTTCTTGCGCTGCTTCCTCACGGGGACTGTGACTATGGAGCACTTCACCTGATAGACTATGACTATGACTATGATATACTTGCATATCGATAGTGATAGTGGATACAAGTAGACAAGTAGTTTGAGCCACCGGAGGTGGTGCCCATATTATATAGACTATATATATATAATTCATGTATAACTTCACACTATATGCTCATATAAGGTCTCCATTTGGACAGCCATGAATCGAAGTGGTCCAGGGAGAAGAGTCCTTTGTTCCGCCGCAGGCTGGTGATGTGGACCGGCTTAAAGTGCTGAAGAACCCCGATGGCACCACCAAGGGCATCGGCTGCTGGGACCGTCGAAGCACATTTTTGGTCAGGCACCGGCATCGGCCACTGTTTGGCGGGGGGCAATTGCATGCGGCGAGATGTGCATCATATCACATAAATTAATTTTTGGAGGAGAGTCGATGAATATAGATGCTGCCGTGCGACACGGATGAGAAGACTCACTCTGCGACCGTTTGGTAGCGGAATGCGGGGGGGGTCAATTGGGGAGAGACGTTCGTCAGTCGATGACCATCATCGACTTGGAGACGCAGGGCCTCGTCCTCGCAGGTCCTCGTTTTACCGGCTTCTCTTTTGTTCGACGTCTTCGGCCTATCTTGCTTGAAGAACGGTGGCGAGTTCCTCACCGATCTGAACCACGGTCCATGTGGTAGCTACGTGTGGAGTCGAGATTTCAAGGCATAGCTCTGTATAGCGTTTTACACTTCGCGCATCAGGAATTCTGGGCTTTCACATCAACATATACACAAACACTTCATGACTCAGGAACTGACTTCATCAATTCAAGTCATGGCCACACCATGCAGTTATAAATTCAATTATATAATTCCATTGAATTCCATGAATTCATGAATTCCATGCGGTCATGTTGTTCCCCAGAGAGCTGAAAGGCGCTGAAAGGGTCCTTACTTCTGACTGGGTGACTGATCGGCGTTTTGGTCCACCACTGGTATGTGTCGGGTCTTTCAGGAATTGATTTCAAGCTGATGATCCGAGGCTTTGTGACCTTCCGCACGGAGGAGCAGGTGCCGTGCGCGTGCTGTGCGCACCGAAGGATGGAGCACGGCGTGGTGTTGATCAAATGCACGGCATGGCCCTGGGGTTGGAAGACCACACAGTTTTGAAAGGAAATCATGGTTACCTGGCATGGCATGGCCCCCGAAACCTCGGACTTCAGAGGTTGAACAGCCGAAGACCAAGCTCAGCTGGTGCAAAAGCGCTCCATGGGGCTGTGAAGCGGTTCTGCCCATGTTGGTCAGAGCACCAGACCCGGGTGCTCAACAGATTTGAGGAAGGGATACCAGAAGCTCTGGGGTGGAGTTGTTGAAGTCACTGAGGTGTTGAGGCTTTGCCCACCACCTCCTTGGACATCCGTTTTACATATGCCATCCGATAATATCCGATATATATTTATATATATAGCAGCATGTATCCCAGATGTTGCATGTGACTGATATAGTGATAAGGTGATTACACAAGACGTTCTGCATGATAGCATGATGGTACATAGACTGCAAAAAAAGATGTGTAGTTGCCTATTTGCCAAATCTGAGATTCCAATTAAAATATTGCCTGAAGATTGCAGGCCATACAACAGGGTCAATCATGAACATGACTTTATTGAAAGCAATGGCACAAAAGAGAACACATGCCACAACCCATACCAGCACCATTCAATGGGGACACACCCAAATTTTTGGAAATGTTGAACCTCCACTGGTTATACCTGTGCAAGACGACTTGCACATCCTTGCACCCTTCTGCCAGCGTGTTTGTTCTCCCCCTTTCTTTCCGCATGGGACTCTCTCCCTTGGCGTCCGACCGATGCCGAGGCGCAAAAGGCCCTCTCCTTCCACAATCGACCCTTCGAAGGTGGTAACATCGTGGTGCGCCTGGCGCACGCGGGGAACAAGAAAGGTGACAAAGGCGACAAAGGCGCCCGGGGCGGCGACATCGACAGACATCGGGTGTCGGTGTTCGGAACTTGGTGTTCGACTCGTGGGGTGAAACCGAACCGCATGGCACATGACGTTGGTGTCGTTGGTGTGTGTGTGTTGGTTTGAAAGGATGGTGTTTGGGACAGGTGCCTTTCCAATTTTCCACGAGCTGGAAAGCGCTTTGATGATGTTTGATGGGATGATGAGCTAAATCCAATACTCCTTGAACGATCACACCCACAGGGGGATGCAGTTTTTCGTTCGGGGTTGGGTGGTATGGGTGGTGCTGAAACTGTTGTTGGTAAAGGATTTGTTCAGATCGCGATCAGTTAATATTATACTATATGTATGATATTATATATGTTCCAATATGACTAAATTTAGGGTGCTGATGTCTTTGCTCCTGAAAAACCACGCCGACCGTCCAGGCGAAGGAAAGGGCGGCCGCTTCGAGGAGCGCGACGACCGCTTCGAGGAGCGGCGGCGGCCGGAGCGGCCGGAGAAAGGGAAGAGCAAAGGACGAGGCAAAGGGCAGCTCGGCCGAGCAGTTTTGGCAGACTTGGTCTTTTTTTGTCAAAAAGAAAGTATCCACATTCAGATCTCTTCGAGTCGTTGAGCGTGTCCCAAAGGAGGGGAACCATTTGAGCCTTTGACGTTTAATCATATGAGCAGCTTCAAAAACCTCTATGATGAAAAGTGTGCAAACTGTAATCTCACATTCTTTCGCAAAAGCCAAAACGCAGGTCGCGAAAGGTTCGCGAAAGCCCCGCGAAAGAACCCCAGAAGAACAGCGTCGCGAAAGCTTTCGCGAAAGTCGAATTTCTTGTGCATGTCGTGTTGTTTATGTGGGTGACCATATTTTTATGCAGGCAGCCGCAGCAGGCCAGCCAGCCAGCCAGCCAGCCAGCCAGCCAGCCGCAGCAGACCAGCCAGCAGCAGCAGCAGCAGCAGCACTGAAGAGCAAGTGTTTCAGGGGAAAATCGAAAAGCCCAGACGAATTTCCGCGAAAGCCGCGCGAAAGCCTCGCGAAAGAACCGCGAAAGTCGAAAATATCCGGGAAAGGTATCTGGCCCCAGCAAAAACTTTCAGCAAGTTTTCCTCCTCTTCTGATGACAACAATAATACTTGAACGGTGCTGCTACAACTCCTTGTGCCTGGATGTTGCCGGAAAGAAATTTGTTCAGTTTTGACATATCGGATAACTTATACCTGGAGCCTCAAACGCTCACCGTTTTCTGATGGTCAATCAGTTTTGAGACGCCACCAGGGGTTGGTGTTCTGTTTGTGAGTGTTTAGCCCAAACGATTAGAAAAACCCAAAGGATGCTTGGAAACGTCAGCTTTTGCTCAAAAAAGCAGAGCTGACCACCCCTTTGCCTCTCACCTGGCACCTCTGGCTTGTTTTGGATTGGGCAGGTGGGCCACAAGATGAACACATAAACACACAAAGTACAAGAAGGAAGGGTGACCACACCAGGGGTTCCAATCTTGGTGGCTGATAGGTTCATCCAAGCCCCGTAGTCTTGCCAGGCACACTCTGCAGCTCCATGGCATCGCCTGGGTTGTCGGTGCAGGTGCGCACCCTTTCTGCTGAGGTTTTTTTAGCTGGTGGACCTGGTGGACCCCATCAAAAGACTTCGTCTTCCCTTACTAGTCTGAACATGGCGCACCTTTCCTGTGTTTCCTGGGAGACATGTCCCACCTGAGCTTGGACTTCGCCTCCTCAAGCCTTTTGGGTCATCAGCGCGTTTCATCATCATCTAGCCAGCACTCATGCCTCGCAAAATGTTCTCTGATGGCAGAGTGGCCACTGAGGAGGAGGCCATGAAGCTAGCCGCCCAGTTTGACCAGCATGAAGAGCTAAGACTTTGGGCTCTAGAGAAGAATCGCTTGGTGTGTGACAAGAAGGGCGACAAGATATCGGGCCCAACACTTGAAAACATGGCCTACAACCACCTTGTGCTCAAGGAGATTGCACTATCGATGCGGGACCGTGCAAGGCTCTCACCAGATCCCGTGGATGTTATTCATGTGATGGTGATGGGCTGGTACTTGAGGTATCAGAAGGTCTACGAGAAGGTGCCAAACTTCAATATGAAGAGCTGGTCATTTGTTGACTCGTGGCAGCTGCATAAGATGCTCACCAGGTTCCGCCCCAAAGTTCTGAGGAGTGAGAAGCCTCGTGCCCCTTGAATTGTTTCAGCACCTTCTTTCCCCTTTTCACTGTTAAAAGCCTAATAACTCTGCCCCATAGGTCCTTTGAATTGTTCCCTCTTGAGTCCTCCTACTTTGAGGAGAGCAAGTTGGCAGAGATCTGGGAAATCCTGCAGCAATCCTTTCTGCGGAGGATGGAGGAGAGGGATTGGGGCCCTGCAGTTAACATTCTTTCTTAGATGTTTTTTTCAGGGTTTGTCCTCTGTGTTGGGACCTGCTGTCGATGCCTTGCCCAGGTCTCCTACTACCCGGCGATATGAACCTAACTACAGTACAGTGTTTGCCACCTTTGCTGGTGTAATTCTCATGTAGCTTTCAAGTCCTCAATTGACACATATACTGCTGGCGCTCTTCTGGCAGGAGCTTCAGATCGAAGCGGGTGACATCGCAACGGTGGCAGATGAGCTTGGCAAGCAGGAAGGTGTGGAAGCCGCCACAGCTCCGGAAGCTGTAGAACCAACTCCTCCCAATGACACGCAAGACCTTGACATCGACATCTTGGAAAAGGAGGCAGCGTTTGGTTCCATGGATTCGCAGCCTGTGGAAGTCAATGACTCACAGCCTTTGGAACTCAATGACTCGCAGCCTGTGGAACTCCAGTTTGTGGAGCTCAATGACTCACAAATGGACCTCGGTGGGAAGAACTTGCTGCCGGATCTTGATGCCTGCAGCTCAAAGCTGGGGGAGCCTCATGCCATTGACTCCAAGCCTGCTGGATGCAGTGAAGTTGACCACGAAGAGGGCAACGTCCTGAGTTCTCCCTTGTTCGACCCTGTGTACGTTGATGACTCTGGCCTTGACCTGCCAAAGAAGGTTGTGGTTGACGACAGCCTGCTTCCATCTGTGCTTCTTCCAAGCGAACCCGCTGCCAATGAATGTGCAGTTGTTGATTTGCTTGACTCTCCTGATCCCAAATCGGTTGAGGGCATGTCCGCAGACAAGCTCCTTGCTCTGGCGCAGGCCAAGATGGAGAGCTTGACTTCGGTAGAGGTCGATACGCCAGCCCAGGAGCACCACGGAAGGAAAGAACGTGTTTTTGTTAGTTGTTCTCTTCAACTTCAATTCCTCCTAATCCTGTTTTAAAGAATTTGGGAGGCCACCACTCCCACAAAACCACACGCCCTGAACCATTCTCTATTGACACCGGTTGTTTGGCCTGGTGCCACCCTGTAGAGCCCCCAAGTAGGTGTCCTCAGCCCATCCGTGGGGAGCCACCCAAGGCCAAGCTTTGAAGTGCCATTGGCGCTGCCAAGTCACAGCGCTGAAGCGCCGCAGCCTTTGCCACCAAGCACCCCGAATCTTGCCCAAGAGCCTGCCAAGGAGGACTGCAAACCAGGTGCTGTGTTGAACGCCCGTCCCTTCAAAGGTAGTCGGGTACAAAAACAAATTATCAAGAGAAGAACAATCAGATCGCATACCGGAAATACCAACACCACTCCAGTACCTAATTCTCATAACTCTCATTGGTTTTGCTTTTGGGGGCGTGATTGCACAACTCAAGTTTGTGACCATTTTTCATCGGGCAGGTTCGATGGCTGCCCGGCTGCCCCCATTGAACCCTGACCTGTGGGACACATTGCCCATGGACATTGTGGGGCTGCATGGTGTGTCGCCGTTCAAGGACGTTGTTGATGCGCCTTCTTTCCCCCAAAGCTGCATTGGTCTTTAAACACTAGTTTATATAACGGGCACTATAGAACAATACTCTGCCAGGAGCCTCCTGCCTCCAAGGATAACCAATTGGAACTTCTCAAAGCAGCCCGCAGCAAGAGCAAGGGGGAGGGGGAGGAGCCTGAGGGTAAGCCAAGAGGACGCGGTAGACAGGCCAAAGGGAAAGCCAAAGCCAAGGCAAAGGGAAGGCCGAGGGTGAAGGCAGCACAGGCAAAGTGCAAGGCAAAGGCAAAGGCAAAGGGAAGGGCTAGGAAAAACAAGGTTGATTCGGTTGGTTCTCAGGCTGGGGAAGGTGAACTTGAGGGTCCAACGCTGCCAGAGGACACAAGGGGACAGGTTGAGGAACCACATGCACCAGCAGCCCCAGCGCCCAAGCGGGCAGCCGCTAAGCGTGCTCCCAGGAAGCGTCCTTCTGCAGCGCCGGCACTTGTTCAGCCAGAGAATGAGCCGGAGGCACCCCCAGCGCCCAAACCAGAGAATGAGCAGGAGGCACCCCCACCCCCAGTGCCCAAGCCAGAGGAGAACCAGGAGGCACGGCCAGCGCCCAAACGTGCCAGGAGGAAGACCGCACCCAAGGTACAGGAGAAGGGCCAGGATGCACAGGGGCAGGCGCCAGTGAATGAACAGCCGGTGTTTTTTGGCCCAGAGCTCCCAAACATTGAGCGGGATTTGTTGCCAGCTACGTTTGCAAGGAGGGC